ATATATATATATATATATATATATATATATATATATGGTATACGGCGTCGGCGACGTATACCGCCGACGCCGTATACTCGAATTAAAATTAATAAATAAAAAATAAATATGAGATACGGCGTCGGCGAATTATTCTCCGACGCCGTATCTCCAATAATAAAATAAATAAATAAATAAATATGGTATACGGCGTCGGCGACGTATAAGGCCGACGCCGTATACTCGAATTAAAAAAAAAAAATACGAGATACGACGTCGGGGAATCAATCCCCGACGCCGTATCTCCTCCAATAATAATAATAAAAAAATATGGTATACGGCGTCGGCGACGTATAACACCGACGCCGTATACTCGAATTTTAAAAAAAATAAAAAATAAATACGAGATACGACGTCGGCGTATTATATAGCCAACGTCGTATCTCCATTAAAAAAAATAAATAAATATAATTATACGGCGTCGGATACGTACATAACCGACGCCGTATAACTATGCCCTAGTATAGGCGAAACATTTCAGACGAAACATTTCACTGTCGAATCTCTCCGCACGCCCTACGCCGCCATCGACCTTCGAATCTCTCCACCTACGCCGTCGTCCTCGGTCTCGCTGTCGACGTCGCTCGCCGCCTCGCTACTGCCGCACGTCGACGCCGTCGCTCGCCCTCGCCTCGCAACAGTCCCTGCCTAGCCGCTCGCCGTCGGCGTGTTGAAGGTACGTGTATATATATATATATATATATATATATATATATATATATATATATATATATATATATTAAATCTTGTCATTCCTTTGATTTCCATCTGTCGCTGTTCTATTCTCTCTTTGTCTATTTGAAATGTGCACTTCTTGATGCTGAATGGATTTTGGATCAAGAACCGAAATAGACAACTCTGCCTAATTGGAATTGAATCCATATAATTTTAGGAATAATTGTACTTGAAATTTTAGAACAAATATTATGAATATATTGCACTAGTTGATACCCAATATAAAATGACGTTGTTTTGGACCAAGGCTCACCATGCTAGGTGAATCTTGGTCCATAATTTGCCTTTTTCAAGTATATAACTTACCAAATAATTTAAGTGAACAAGCTAAGTGTGTATAATACATGATGATGTTATTGAATATATTGCACTAGTTGATACTCAATATAAAATGACGTTGTTTTGGACCAAGGCCCACCATGCTAGGTGAATCTTGGTCCATAATTTGCCTTTTTCAAGTATATAACTTACCAAATAATTTAAGTGAACAAGCTAAGTGTGTATAATACATGATGATGTTATTGAATATATTGCAATAGTTGATACTCAATATAAAATGACGTTGTAGGCTTTGGAAAGACAAGAAAGATTGCCCTACAACAAAAAAGAGATTGATGAAGTTAGAGACAAATGGTCTAAGTTTCTTATTGATGAATGGGTTAATAAAACGCTTCTTAGTTGATACTTTACGTTTAAAATTAGTTTATGTTTATTGGCTTAATGTTTAGTAGTTTTGTTGAATTGTGGTACTTATATTAGTTTTATGTTTAGTAGCTTGAATTAGCTTAATGAATTGTGTTCTTTATATTAGTTTCATGTTTAATAGTTTGATACTTTACGTTTAAAATTAGTTTATGTTTATTGGCTTAATGTTTAGTAGTTTTGTTGAATTGTGGTACTTATATTAGTTTTATGTTTAGTAGCTTGAATTAGCTTAATGAATTGTGTTCTTTATATTAGTTTCATATTTAATAGTTTGAATTAGTTTAATAAATTAGTTGATGTTGAATGTTAAATTGCTAGCTGCGCAGGATTTGAAAATTGATACAGGTTGGGTAGAAACCATAAAAAAACGCATATAATAATAATAAATAATAACATACGGCGTCGGTTTTTAGGTAAAAGCTGACGCCGTATGTTAATTATTTTTTTTTTAAAAAAATAATAAATATATACGGCGTCGGCTTTTACCTAAAAATCGACGCCGTAGGTTAATTATTTTTTTTTTAAAAAAATATAAATACTATACGACGTCGGCTTTACCCTAAAAGCCGACGTTGTATGTAAATTATTTTTTTAAAAAAATATATATATATATACGGCGTCGGGTTTTAGGTAAAAGCCGACGTCGTATGTTACATACGACGTCGGTTGTTTAACCGACGTCGTATCATTTACTTACGACGTCTCTAAAGTCGACGTCGAAAGATAACCGACGTTAAAACCGTTTTCTGTAGTAGTGTTTATTGAATTGCCTCGTATGAAGTTGAGAAATAGTATAAATATTTAATATGAAATACTTTTGAAATTAATAATTCATTTTCAAATAATGAACTTGATTTAAAACCATAAAAAGGGCTAGAGAAATCTGTTGGGGATTTCAATGCTGTTGGGAATCCATGGTATTGTAGAGCTTGTATGTATACAATGAATTAGAGGCTCTTTCCCCTGGATTAAACAAGTTTAGTTTCCATTCTAATATTTATAATTTGTATACTATGAATTAGAGGCTCTTTCCCCTGGATTAAACAAGTTTAGTTTCCATTCTAATATTTATAATTAGTATAGAGCATGGTTGTAGTAGGCGCTAGGCGCTAGTCGGACAGTAGAGTAGCTCCCAAACGGCCTAGGCGGCTAACTAAAAAAAAACAGTGCACGGGTGTATTATTATTATTATTATTATTATTATTATATATATATATATATATATATATATATATATATATATATATATATATATATATATATATATATATAATGAAAAAAATTAGCAAGGACGAGTCGGCCGGGTTAACTCGGCTAACTCGACCTAAATGAACGAATTAACTCAGCCGAATTCAGTTGAGTTAGGATCGCAACGGTCTAGGAGCGTTTAGCGCCTAGGCGGGCACCTAGACCAATTTTTGCAACAGTGATATAGAGTGTACGTGTTTACTATATCGTCTTCAAAGGATTATGGGTTATGATCTGTAATATGTAATTGTAAGCAACTAGGTACTTACATTAGAAAATGAACAAGTTAAAGCATTCAACAAGCCAAAGACAAGGGCAATTAAGACAAATAAGACAAAATATATAAACAAGAGAATAAACACGAAATAAGAAATATGACTCAAATAAGTAGATGGTTTTACACAAGTTTGTTATTAATGATAAATATTATACTCCATAATACTTATAACACAAGTTTGAACAAAAAATCTGACTACTTATTACTAATAATAAATATTGTACTCCGTAATACTTATAATTAAAATTGTAATACTTACACAAATTTTTGCCCCAAAGTATTATTTAACCTTAAAAAAGATTGTCAAACACGAAACTATATATGTTGGGTCGTCTGCTTCGCTATCAGTATATGAGTGACTTGAAGCGTGATGAAACCATACAGTACATAGCGTGGAGTGCATATATCACTCACCACCTTATCGATCATCATTTGCCCTCTACATAATACATACTTCAATCATTATTCGAAAGTATGCATGATGTGTATGTACTGAGTAAATCCCACGTCTATTTAATTATTCGCAAATCACACTGAAAAGTAAACCATACTAAGAATACTCTATGTGACGGACTGACGGGTTCAACTGAAAAAATATTGACAAGAATCAAACTTACGACATTTAGGTATGTATGAGATTCATGTTCTCCCCACTCGACCACCCTTTAATTTGAGTTGTTATAACATGGACCAGGGTTCACCTTACAAGGTAGACCATGGTCCTAAACGACGTATAAATTGTGTATTTTAACTATTTTTAGTATTGAAATTGTGAACTTCTAGAATATTATAAATTGTGTTTCTAAGTCAAAACTCATAACAACCGTAGAAGGGAATTTGTTAATACAATACAGGGTCATCAAATTCTAATTTGTTAATACTTAATATTGTGTGATTGCAATATTTGAAAGGAATTTATGAATACAAAACAAGGTAATCAAATTACATATATGTTAACATTGTTTATTCGTAATATACAGTGAATTTTAAAAGATAAATTGTAAATATTTAAACTCAAATTCACCTTACAAAGTAGACTTGGGTCCACAGAATAACCATCATTTTGACTCTAATCAGTGTTTGCTAAGATACCTGGCCCATGGGCCACGCCAGTCGTTACATACAATTAAACCTACTGTCGTGATCCCAAAAATGGCATGCAGGTTGTTTTCGATGGTGCATTCAGTTCAAGTTCTTACATTTTTATTTTTATATTTTTTAAAGGACCATTTTTCTATTTGTGCCTGTCATTCTTGCGCAAGGGCCATGCTAATCTTCTTTGTATTGTTTCAATTTTATCAGATGTCTCCGAAGAGACATATTTTTTAAAGGGAAAAGGGTCAAATAGGGCCTCGAACTTTAGCTTAAAAGTCAATTAGGTCTCTAAACTTTTTAAAGGTGCAGTTACACCCCTCAACAATTCATTTAAGTGCAATGAAGTCCAAAAACAAATTAATGACCTGCTATCACGGGTCATTAGGGTTCAAACCATCTTCCAGTGAATTTTCCGGCAAAAAAAAAAAAAAATTGGCCGGCGAAATTTCTGACAAAAAAAGTGACCGGCGAAATTTTCGACAAATCTGGGTAGGTTGCTGGTCACTTTTTTTGCCGGAAAATTCGCCAAAAGGTGGCCTGAACCCTAATGACCTGTGATAGCAGGTCATTAACTTGTTTTTGGACTTCATTACACCTAAATAAATTATTGATGGATGTAATTACACTTTTAAAAAATTTAGGGACCTAATTAACTTTTAAGTTAAAATTCGAGGGCCTATTTGACCCTTTTCTCTTTTTTAAAATTTACAAAAATATCATAACCCGAAATGATATATAATTAAAATTGAGTGTAGTACTAAAAGAAAATATAATTAAAATGTAGACTAGAACGACCCTAACTAATTGTATACAATTTTAAAAAGATGGTTTTTATTAAATCCATGCATTGGTCAGAATCTTGAAAATGGCAAACTGGAGGACATTGATACAGACAAACATGCATAGACAACCCAGACTATATATAATTTTCCAAATAATATATAGAAAGCCAGAAAGGTAGCAAAGAAAATTTTCAATTCGATCACGCAACACAAGAGAAATCAACACCACCCACCCTCTCACATAGATTAATACCAAAAAAAAAAAAAAAAAAAAAAAAACCTTTTAAAGTTTTAAAATTCGATTAAATTAATCTTATCGCTTGAAATATACCAATATTAAAGTATACCAATTCTATCGGATAGGCAAGTTAACCTTAGGAGATGAAGGAGAAGAAGTCGCCGGAGACGGCCAGAATTGTGCGTTCTTGACCTTAGAGATGTTGGCAAGTACTCCTAACGGTGTCACGTTTCCAATTACCGTCACTTTCTTCGAGTCCAAATCAATGCTGAATGATGATACTCCTATAAAATTTTACTTGAAAAATAATTAAATAGTTTACGTAAAGTAAATAATTTTTTTTTTTTTTTTTTTACCTCGTATCGACAAAGAAAATTAAACTACTTTATATTAAACAAGGTATATATAGGTATATAGGTATATTTACTTGCCTTCCATCTTGGACAGATGTTTCCTCACTTTCCCTTCACAACCCTTGCAATGAATTGCTACCCTCAATTCCACAACCTGCAGTGCAATCAATCCCAACTTAATTCCAAGAAAATCTAAATCATATATATCCAAATTTTTACACATAAATATTCAAGAAAAATTATTTAAAGCATGAAAATTTTTAAAGTGTACAAAGTAACATAAATTTTTTTAATATATCAAGACACTAAAATATTTTTTTATTAAGTATTTTGGTTATATGTATACTTGAATTGATGTGGTCAACCCTTAGCTTACATAATATCCAATTCAATTAAGCACCCCATTTTGTATTTAGTATTTGGATTGTATTGAATACTATCCGTCTTTATTTTATTGTACCCAATACAATCGTCAAACATACCAAACATCCAAGTAATTCGAACTAAATTGGTCAGATTATTAACTTAGTAATAACAAGATTACAAGTTCAATTCTCCTTTTGTAAAAGGTTGAATCTTCAATCCCAAGGGCTCCACAGGTCACATCTAGCCCGACAAAGTATTTGAAAGATGTAAATCACTCTGACTTATTAATAACTCACAAGACAGGACCAAATGTCTATGCCCACAAGAAATTTATCCGCTTTAAACATAATTCGCACACTATCAACCCACTAGGGTAGCTCAAGTGGCAAATGAGCTCTCTTTGTGGGGGAGAATTTCGGGATAACCCTTGTTTGATTCCTACAAGTGACTATCCCCTTTGGGCCAGAAATGCGGACCGGGTGAACCTGGACCGTTAAACGGACAGAAAAAGGCCCGGACCACAATATGTGGTAGACACCAAAAAAATAATTCTCACACTATCAACAAAATTTCTTTCTCCCAAATATTGTCTATTGAACCAATGAGCTAAGCTCATAGGAACATTACAGGTTCAGTTCTCAATAAGAGTCAAATCTAATGGCCTTCTAGATCAGTCTAAAAACAACTTAGGATGGTTTACTTCTCTAATACCAAATCAAACCTTAAAAATCCCAAAATACATATTTTTGGTATATGGATATAGGATGAAGAACCTGGTGATTACGGTGGGTGGGAGTTGAGGACGAGGAAGTTTTAACATTCGAGTCGAGGGTTAATGACGAAGGATTGCAGACCACCGGAGGCAGTTTAGGCGGCGGCGGCGGCAGTGATGACGACGAGGGTATAACGGCGGCCAGATTATCACCGGAGGTGTGTTGCGCCTTGGTGGTTTGGAATGGCCGGTAGGGAACCAAGGCTTGAGTATTGTTGGAATCAGATAATATTTGGTGAAGAAAGGTAGAATCATTCAAGAGATATCTAGAAGAATGTCCAGGAGAATTGGAAGTAGCATTGTTATTAGGAGCAGGTGAAGGGTCCTTGGGCGACGAAGCCGTCTTTCGAAAGGAAGTGGGGTGAAAGGGGAGATGGGAGGAGCACGGCGGCGCCGGCGGGCGGCTTCTGGGGCGGACGATTCTGCGCTGGTCCATGCTGGAGCAGATGGCGGTGGAGGCATGAGAGGCGCAGAATAGGTCTCTTCTGGATTTCATGGTTAGTTAGTTGTTTCACAAAGAATTGAATGAATTGAGAAGTATATATATATATATGATGGGCGAGGGAATTGAAGATGAAAAATATAGTGAGAAATGAGGTGAAGGTATAGTGTTATTGGAGATGATGAGGCTTAGATGGATAGAACCAACCAAGAGAGAAACACGATAGTCATAGTCCCCACCACCCACAATAATAATAATAATACGGAGTAATAATAATGTGCCTGCATGGGCAGCTCAACGGGTTACAGAGGTGAAAGTTGAAAAGAATTAACAGGATCGAGTCTCATTAGCGACAGTGTGGTTAAGTTACCATGATTTACATCCTTCCAGATGTAAAGGAGAAGAATAATAATATTGCAGACAGCAGCAGCTTCCCTCAATGATTTTTAGTAGACAGTATTTGAGAGAAGGAATCAATGTTCGAATCTCGGAGGCCATAGTGTGTGCGCACTGGCATTTGGTCCAGTCTGTTGAGTCATTGAATAAACAATTTAAACTGGTTTACTTTATTGTAATCCTTTGCTGTCTAGAGTTACCCGATGGGATTTACCCAGTATACATTCTCGGGTAAATTTCTTATGCGTCGCATTTGGTCATGAGTTATTATAATTTACATCTTTCTAAATGCTGTTGGGATGTGATGGACCTTGAAGTTGAGGATTCAACTTTTAATGGAGAATAATGTAAATCTGAAAATTCTGTGATTTTTATCTATTATGATCTTAATAAATTTAAAATATGTTTCGTTTTATTAATTAAAAGTATAGATTAATAGTAAACTTCTACATTTATTATTTTATATTTTATATAATTATAGTCGATACCGAGAGGATAAGGTTGCAGCTACTCTACTACTGGAGTAGTCCACAAATTAAACTTAATTTTACCATCATTCAAACAGTAGATGCAAACATGGGAAAGAATTAATAATATAATTATCGATCCCACTGGGTTTCTCATATTTTGCAAGCTCAGCTCTGTTCAGTACTGTTTCGGTTTCCTAGTTTTAAAATTTTTAGAACTGCGGTCTCGACCTAGATAATATTAAAAAGAATGAAATTCATGAATTTCTGACATGAGAGAATTATGTTTTACCAAACACTCCACCCTTTTTGGACCCGTAGAAATTCATGTATCAAAAGTTAGAGATAGTAACTCATTTCTTTAAAGTGAGATAGTATGTAACTCATAAAATTTGTATTATTATTATTATTATTATTATTATTATTATTATTATTATTTTTTTTTTTTTTTTTTTTTTTTAAGATAAGGGTCAAATAAGTCCTTCAATTATAAGTCAAAAGTGTAATTATTCTTTAAACTAAGAAAACCTCTAATTAGACATTTTATCTCTTCACTTTTAACAATTTAGCCAATAACTTCTTATAATTAAATATAATCCTCATAGGAGAGCTATCGGCTATGATTGCGGAATACAAATGGAGTCAGTAGAAGTAGCTCACTTGTTTTTAAAAGCAGATTACAAACTTTTTGTAGAAGTAAAATATTATACTCCGTATTATATTATCTCAAAAAAAAAATATTATATTATATTATTTATTAGCATATCGTTGCTGTGTGCCCACTAGATCAGACTTCAATCAATATTCAATACTAAGAATAATCGGGCATTTTGCCCGCATGGGTAGCTCAACTGGTCATAGAGGTGAAACTTTGGAATAATGACCAGAGATTGAGTCTCACCAGCGGCAGTGTGGGAGCAACCTCTCAAAGTGAGGGGGGCTTTTCTTGTGCGCAGTGAGCACCGATCTAGCCTCTATGGTTCATGTTCAGTTGAATCACCATGATTTACATCCTCCCAAAGATCCTCACCATGATTTACATCCTCCCAAAGATCCTGTCGGGCCGGGGTGTGGGGGGGGGGCCCTTAGGGTTGGGTATTCAGCCTTTTGGAATAATAATTGGGCATTTTCAATTGTGATTTTTGAAGAAACAAAACTTATGTGGAAGAAAGAAGGATAGGAGAGAGAATAAAATGGGATGTTGCACCCGCATTAATTTTTGTCAAATTTAGTGGGGTCCACCGCAAAAAAATAATAATAATAATAAGAGAAAAGGGTCAAATAGACCCCTAAACATTACCCTAAAGGTCAATTAGCCCCCTAAACTTTAAAAAATGTCAATTAAACACTCAAACATGCTAAATTTGGTCAATGAAGCCCAAAAATCGGTAAATGACCTGTTTTTACCGGTCATTTTAATTCCGGCGACGAAATCCGGCCACCGGTGACGAATTCCGGCCACCGGCGAATTTTTCCGGCGGCCGACGAATTAATTTTCTGGCCGTCCGGTCGTCTTCCACCGGAGAAGACGACCGGACGGCTGCCTTCTCCAATGGAGAAGGCGGCAGGCGGCCGTCTGCCGCCTTCTCCAGTGGAGAAGACGACCAGATCTGGTCGTCTTCTCCATTGGAGAAGATGACCAGATCTGGTCATCTTCTCCAATGGAGAAGACGACCAGACGGACGTCTTCTCCATTGGAGAAGACGACCAGATCTGGTCGTCTTCTCCACTGGAGAAGGCGGCAGACGGTCGCCTGCCGCCTTCTCCATTGGAGAAGGCTGGAGAAGGCGGCCGTCCGGTCGTCTTCTCCGGTGGAAGACGACCGGACGGCCGGAAAATTAATTCGCCGGCCGCCGGAAAAATTCGCCGGTGGCCGGATTTCGTCGCCGGAATTAAAATGACTGGTAAAAACAGGTCATTTACCAGTTTTTGGGCTTCATTGACCAAATTTAGCATGTTTGAGTGTTTAATTGACCTTTTATAAAGTTTAGGGGGCTAATTGACCTTTAGGGTAATGTTTAGGGGTCTATTTGACCCTTTTCTCTAATAATAATAAAGGAAGTTGTGTCTTGGTGCGCATGAGGCACACCAGAAGCGTCCAGCGGGACGTATGCACACCACGCGCCAGGCTGGACGCGTTAAACAAGTGTTTTTTCTCTTTTCTTTTTTCTCATATTTCTCCTCTCTCCTCTCTCTTACATGCCAACCTAAAAATCAACAAAAAAACCTCAACTAATAGAGATGTTCTAAGAGTGAAGTTCCTTTGCTCAGTTTTCACAAGAGTGAGTGTAGGTCAGTGGTCACTCTAACACAATAACTAATGATGGTCAATTAATTGTTGAGGCTGCAATTAAATTAAATTTAGTGAGAATTTTACTTTTTAAGAGTACATTTATCATTTTTCGTTTAAATTTCAATACAGACACACTAACGCAATAATTAATCAACTTGGGAGATTGTTCCACTCTTTATAGCAGATAAAATAATGTATGCATTATTAAGATCTTCACCGGATATTGACAAAGTGAGACAAGATTAGTTACATTAGTTTATTTAAAAAAAAAAAATTAAAACAATATAATCAATTATATTTTGTAACATCAACATTCGATGTGAATTTTTAATGCAAAAAGAAGTGCATGTAACATAATTCTTTATATAAAAAATTGTTATTTTTTTTTATTTGTATACCTAGAATTGTCAATATATACTTTTGTTTTGTGCCAAACTATGAACGTACACATTTACATCGCGAATATCCCTGCGACTAGTCTTCATCATCCCTTAATAGCTAATTGTGTTGGTGTGTCACGTCTCGCATTAACGTGATTTACCTATTTCTTTTTCATTAAGGTCAATTTTAATAGATATGATTTTTAAAGTTTTTTTTTGGGTTAACTAGAAGAGAGAAGAGAGGTTTTCAAAAAAGAAGAGAGGAGAGAGAAAAAGAAAACAAAAAAGAATAATTTTGACCAAAAAAGACCTTTTATGTGCTCAGATGGCGCGTACACTGAGAGCGGTAGTGCGCGAAATGCACAATCTACACATGATTTACTACTTTACTAGACCATACAAAAACTTTGATTTGTATGATTAAAAACTCCTTAAAAATTCCACCCATCAATACAAAAATCTTCCCACTATTAATTTTTTCTTCTATAAAAAATTCCCTAAAAAAAAAAATAAAAAAAATATTGAGGATGCACTGCACCTCCATGAATTCGCTCAAAAATTCATCAGTTTCCTCTCCTATATACATTATCACGAAATTATTCCTTCAGCAATAAAACATATATATAATAAAATAAAATTCATCCATTGATGGACAGAATCTTTTAACCCAAAAAAAATAAAGTAAAAAAATACTGACATCCTAAGACCTAAGTTGCTTGTGATCTGAAAACATTTGCAATTTTGTGGTGAAGACAAATGGTACGTGCCGCTCTTAAAATTGGATCGGACACCCATTCAGGAATATTGTTGGTGGATCAGACAAAACACTGGTCAATTTTACCTATGAATTACTGTGAGTCTGTGAATATTATTAGAGGAGGGGCGTTTGGCACAGCTACTATACCTAAAAAAGATGATATAGCAAGCATTTGGCATAGTCTATACGAAATGTTTGCTATATCATTTTTTTTAATACTCATTATTGTTTACAAAATAGTATATGCTCTATACCTACATTTATTTAATATAATAAATTGGTAATAGAGGTATCATCACACTACATAATAGTTGGCGTTATATTATCTCTTCAAACATTATTCTATGTACATTTGTGAAAATTAAGGATGAAAATTTTCTTTACTACTGTGGGGATTCCTGATCGACCTTTGCTCCAATGGAACGGGGATAGGAATAAAAATTTGGGAAATCCCATCCCTAGTACAATAGTTTTAAAGAAATTTTATGTGTTATATATATATATATATATATATATATATATATATATATATATATATATATATATATATATATATATATATATATATAGAGAGAGAGAGAGAGAGAGAGAGAGTCGCGTTCTGGTGCGATTGGCGCGTCTAATGGAAGCTTCACATGCAGAATCAAGAAGGAGAAAAGAAGGAAAATAATAGTTTTATTGTTATGTTCTTCTTGTTACAAAAATTACCAGTAACCTCAACATATATATAATGAAGATAAAGGTATTGTAACTGAAATCCTTTATTCTAAACTGCTAGAATTTAGGAATGAATGGATGCATGATTTATGGAGTCTAATATTTAGGAATGAATTGCTGCATGATTTTTTGAGTCTTAAGAATGAATTG